CCGTCTCTGGTGTTCAGTTTTATCTGCTCTGTTCTTTGACAGTTTATTTAATTGCATACATATTTTTGTTGTAGAGGCCAAGGGTCCCCGTTGTATTCTGTGCAACAAAACGCTTGGCAAAGGAGATGAGGCAAGTTTTGTGACAGTTTTGTGGCTTTGTATGCACTAGGAAGTTAGTTTAAATCTGTAGATCAAGTGTCTGGCAAAAGAGGACAAAGGGTGAAATAGTTGATACCCATATTTTATGCCTTACTCTGAGGGTAATCCTATTCCAAGTTCTTTTTAGACGTGGTATTTAGCCCTTCTGCGGATATTTCTACACATGTTGTGTAGATTTTGAATTGGAGCGTGAAAATACGTGTAGAGCCGCTCGGGCTGTACATGAGAGGAAAATTCACCTCACAGGATTGCCTATTTCGTGACGCTCCTGGGTGGCGCGGTGGCCTCATAGTTAGTGTGCTCGTCTCCTGATATCGAGCGGTCCGGGTTCGAGCCCTGGCCGAGGACATTGTGTTCTGTTCTTGGGCTACACACTTTACTCTCACGGTGCCTCTCTCCTCCCAGGTATATAAATGGGTTCCGGCGAATTTAATGCTTGTGGATAACCTTGGGACGGACTAGCATCCCATCTAGGGAGGAGTAGAAATACTCCTAGTCGTTTCATGCTACGGGAACCGGAGATAAGCTTCGACCTGATGGGCCACTTGGCTTTTTATGCAGACTTTACCTTTGCCTCTCTTCTGTGTCAATTTCCATTTGACTAAAAGCTACTGAGCAGTACATGTGGCATTGTTTGCTTGGAATTTCGATATTTTCTTTAGATATGGCATGCTTTGTTACTAATGAAAACTATGTTTTGTGGAGCTAGGTATGGAGTAAACATTTGAAAGAGGAATGTGCACCAAACAAGGCCAGACTGCAGCAACAATTAGGTAAACGATGCAACATTTTGTTTTGTTATACCTCCCAACTCAAATACGTTTTCCGATTGAAGGAGAACGTTTCACGTGTCATGGGTCAAAACTCACTA